AGCTAGTGATCTGCTCCTTTAGCTAGTGATCTGTTCCTTTAGCCAGTGATCTGCTTCTTTAGCCAGTGATCTGCTCCTTTAGCTAGTGATCTGTTCCTTTAGCCAGTGATCTGCTTCTTTAGCTAGTGTTTTGCTTCTTTAGCTAGTGATCTTTTCCTTTAGCTGGTGATCTGCTTCTTTAGCCAGTGATCTGCTTCTTTAGCCAGTGATCTGCTTCTTTAGCCGGTGATCTGCTTCTTTAGCCAGTGATTTGTTTCTTTAGCTGGTGATCTGCTTCTTTAGCCAGTGATTTGTTTCTTTAGCTGGTGATCTGCTTCTTTAGCCAGTGATCTGTTTCTTTAGCCAGTGATCTGCTTCTTTAGCCAGTGATCTGCTTCTTTAGCCAGTGATCTGCTTCTTTAGCTTGTGATCTGTTTCTTTAGCTAGTGATCTGTTTCTTTAGCTAGTGATCTGTTCCTTTAGCTGGTGATCTGCTTCTTTAGCCAGTGATCTGCTTCTTTAGCCAGTGATTTGTTTCTTTAGCTAGTGCTCTGCTCCTTTAGCCAGTGATCTGCTTCTTTAGCTAGTGTTCAGACACATTACCTAATATTTAACTAATTTTAGTTCATGTTTAACTTATTTCAGCTGATTTCAGCTGATGTTTAGCTCATTTTAATGTTTAGCTTAATTCAGCTGATGTTCAGCTACTTTCTGCTAATGTTTAGCTTATTTCAGCTAATGTTTAGCTCATTTTAATGTTTAGCTGATTTCAGCTGATGTTCAGCTACTTTCTGCTAATGTTTAGCTTATTTCAGCTGATGTTCAGCTACTTTCAGCTGATGTTCAGCTCATTTTAATGTTTAGCTGATTTCAGCTGTATTAATGATGTTTTTAAAGGTTTTTCTCGGGCTTTCAGTGAACCTGGTCACGTTTGGACCGGCTGTTTTTCCCGCTTCCTGTTTAAAGGGAAGTTTGGGCTTTCACGGAACCGGTCCATCAGAACCGAACCGGAACCATCTGGGTCACTCACCTCTCGAGCGATCAGGTTCAAGGCATCCTCCTCCGCCGTCGTCTTGTCTTTCTTGGTGGACCTTTTCCGTCCGGTTCCCTGAGTCCCCATGTGGTCCTGATCCGCTGGGTCTTTCTCCGGTCAACGAGCTGCGTGTGTGGGTCGGAACCGAGCCGCTGGAAGCTCATGTGGTTAAAGTGAGCAGAAACGCAGCAGCGCGCGGCTCATTGTCAAACATCCGTTTATATTTTAATCACCTCTTCCTGTGTTTCTCATCAAATAYCTCAACCTTTGGACCGACGAACCGAACCGCCCGAACTCTGAAATATAAAAATAAAATAAAGTTTGTTTAAAACATCAAATCCTCCTGAAAAAAACTCGTCTTTTATAGAAAAGTCGCGCGCTGCAGCAGAAACTCTTAAACTGGACGGACTCACAGCGGAAGAAACGAAGGAACTTCAAAGGTTGCGCGTGGTGCGTTCACGTGGTGTCGGATTTCTCATCATTACGGTGCCGGAGGCTCATGTAGGTCATAAAACACAGATTTAAATGTCCTGACATTATACTACGTTAAATAAGATATTATTCTCAACAGAATATATAAAAATATATATATTTAGTATAAAACTAGCGTTTTTGTATGAATGCACATCACCTGGTGTCTTACATTAAATTTTAAACAAAGATGTGATGTCATCTGTTAAAACTTAGGGTAGATGTAAGGAAGGACTCTCAGCTACTACCAGGCTAAACTTTAGCTCATTGTCAGTGAGTTTGACTGAGTCATAGCTGTTTGTGTGTTTGTCACACTCGAGTAGCTGTGGCGGCCATTTTGAACTGGGTCATGTCCCAAAGTAAGTTTTCAGATGTTCATGATGATCACTTCCTGAGTTTCATTAAAGTCAACTTGTTCATGAAATATTTTGCTAACAGACAGACACGGCTGAAGTTTTTTATCACCTAATCTGATAGATTTTATTTAAATCCTAATTTGTTCTTTGTCTTTGCTTTAAGAAGGTGAGTTTTTGAAGGCTCAGTTCCAGGTTGGGGTTTTCCGTGTTGCACCTGAACGCAGCACCAACATGTTTGGACTCCAGGGACGTTCAGGGATTCTGTTTCGGTCAGAGACCGCAGCTCCTGCAGGGGCAACGTGCTATTTATAATGATGACCACCGAGCTAAAAAAAAAAAAAAACACCAGTCCGGAGGGTCTTAAAGGGACATGAAACAGATTGACTCTGTCCCTCAGACACCAAACTGTCCCCAAAGTCCCGCTGTCTACAGGACATCTTTTATTTGAAGATAAATTATAGTTTTTATTAAACTTATTGAGTTTTTAAACATTCGGGAGATGATTTGAATTATGCTGCTCCCTTGTGGACAAATCGCGGTATTACACATTGAACGTCAAAAAAATTAAACTATTTTTGTCTGTTAGCAAAATATCTRTTGAACCACTCGATAGATTTGAATAAAACTTTAAGGATTCAACCACTGTATAAACACCTACAACTGWTTACGTTTTGGAGTCAATCTGATTCAAGATGGCCGCCACAGCTAATCAAACTCATAAAAAGCACAAACTCTTATAACTCATTCATTTTTACATGTTTTGAGCTAAAACTTAGTGTGGTAGTAGTTCAGAGTGATCCTCAACACATAACTTGAGGGCACGTGTTGGGGTGTTTACAGCTGTGTTTAACACTTAGGATTAACAGTCATGGTCAACCAAGTCTGTCTGTTAGTAAAATATCTCTTGAGCACAGAGACAGATTTAAATGAAACTTGTAGGAAGTGATCATCAGATGAACGGCTACAATGGATTAACGTTTGGTCTCAATGTGAACACTGCATTGAATCAAACTTATACAATGTTTTTAAAGTTTGTGAGTTTAACCCTCCTGCTGCCCTGGGGTCAAACAGGCCTCAGGGTGGTTTTAGGGGTCAAAGGGCAGCAGACGGGTGAAACTGTAAAATAATGTCTCAGATTGTTCAACAGATCATCCTGCAGGGTTTGTGCTTCTGAACCAGGAAGTGACTCTGATTTCACTTTCATTTCGAGGCAGCAGAATCCAAACCAGCTGGACCAGAACCGGTGGATCCTGTTCATCTAGTGTCGTCTCGCTGCTGTTTGGACTTTCGTTTGTTTTTGTTTATTTGCCATGGGGGAGTCGCTCCCAGGGGGGTCAGCTCAGCACAGACCGGTTCGGACCCTCAGGGTGAAGATGGTCCTCCTGGGGAGCTCTGGAGTGGGGAAGTCCAGCTTGGCTCTGAGGTTCAGCAGAGACCAGTTCAGGAACTCGTCTCCGACTGTGGGCTGTGAGTTTGTGAGTGTCTGAGTTGAGAACACGTCAGAATATTTAAAAAGTTTATTTAACGGGACTTTGGCTCAAACAAGAACCTCTGATCTTTGAGCCTCAGGAGCCGTAAAACTGAAAAACTACCAATAAAGTTTCTTRCATCAAACCAGGTTATTTATTAAACATTTAGAAACAACCAATTTGTAAACAAAGTTCTGTATTATAACATTAAAATAAAATATAAAACGTTTAGTAGAAGATGGAAAAGATTTGGCTTTAAGGGAAAATAAATTTGTGGATCAACAGAAAAGTTTCCTCAGAATTAACTGAAATCGATGGGTGTGGTTCTGTTAATTATCTAACAGAGGAACTAAAGCAGATTAGCTTTTTCACCAAGCTAAACTGTGATCGGACCAATTAGCTTTAGCTAAATTAGGTTTAGTGAACTTTAAGCTTTGGCTATTTACTCTTTACAGCAACTTAGCGTTAGTGATGGTCTATGTTTAGATAGCAAATTAAGTTTCTTAGTGATTAGCTGTTAGCTTCTGACAGTTTTTATTACATGTTTAACATTAACAAAGCTATATTTTTAGCTTGTGTATTATTAGTTTTGTAGTGTTTAGTGATTAGTTGTTAGCATTAGCTAATTTGTGCTTGTTTAGCATCTGATTGTAAATGAAAGTTTTTTTTTCTTCGGCTGCTTTCAGGTGCATTTTTAACACGAATGTTGCTTTTAAGTGACGTCACATTTCGTCTGGAAATCTGGGACACGGCGGGTCAGGAGAAGTACCACAGTGTGACCCCGCTGTACTACAGAGGGGCCCACGCTGCGCTGGTGGTCTACGACATCAGCCAGAGGGTAAAAACAACATGTAAACAACAACATGTAAACAACAACATGTAAACAACAACATGTAAACAACCCAGCAGCTTCATGTGGGCTGGTTTTAGGGGTGAAAACTTCTGCACCTGCCCCACGTTCTCTCTGATCTCTGATCTCTGCAGACCACCTTCAGTCGGGCTCAGGTTTGGATCAGAGAGCTGCAGAAACAGTACATCCCAGGTTCTACAGTCATGTGTCTGGTGGGCAACAAGACAGACCTGGACCAGGACCGTCAGGTCCCAGCTCAGGTACCAAAACAGAACATGAGATGAACACGACAGCCGAATGAGCTGAAGCTGAGCTCTAACAGCTGAAAGAAGAGAAGTGATTAAAAACAATAGTCCTACTTTGATGCACCTGCAGATCACTAGCTGAAAGCTAAATGTAGCAGATGATAAGATGAAAGTAGCAGAAGGCTAACAAAAAGCTAAAAGTAACTTAAAACAACTAAAGTAGAGCGGGTCCACTGGAGCAGATTATTTGTTTTGTGGTAAAAATGTTTGTAAATAAAGTAATTAAAAAATTTAAAAATTACAAAAATTAAAAATTCACAGCAGCCATCAGCCGAATGAGCTAAAGGTTCAGGTCCACGAGCAGCTAAAACACAGGAGAGTCAGGAAGCAGGTAAACAAATAAAAACAATCATTTCAGCGTTTTTCTGTTCAAATCAGAGGTTTGGTTTTCAGGAAGGACAGAAAGTAGCCGAAGAAAACGGTTTGATGTTCACCGAGACTTCGGCTCTGTCAGGAGATCAGGTCAACGAGCTGCTGCTGGCTGTGGGTGAGTCCACAACAAACAAACAAACAAACAAACAAAAAACTAACAACTAATAAACAAACGACTAACAACAAACAACTAATAAATGACTAACAACAAACAACAAACATACAACTAATAAACAAACGACTAACAACAAACAACTAACAAATGACTAACAACAAACAACAAACATCAAACAAACAAACAGCTAACAACAAACAACTAATAAATGACTAACAACAAACAACAAACAAACAAACAAACAAACAACTAATAAACGACTAACAAACAAACAACTAATAAACAAACGACTAACAATAAACAACTAATAAACGACTAACAACAAACATACATCAAACAAACAGCTAACAAAAAACAAACAACTAATAAACAAACGACTAATAAACGACTAACAACAAACAAACAACTAATAAACAAACGACTAACAACAAACAAACAAACAACTAATAAACGACTAACAACAAACAAACAAACAAACAACAAATAAACGACTAACAACAAACACAATAACAGCTCCCTCCAGCTGCCCTTGGGTCAAAGCGAGCCACAGACAGACCTCAGGGCCACGCTGGTCCTGTGGTACCCAGGTGGTCCATTAGAGGGCAGCAGAGACCCACAGACCCGACCCGGATCAGTCTGACACAGTTCTGGTTCTGGTTCAGCCCACAGGGTCTACGAGTGCGTGGGAGGGCAGCAGGAGGTTCTGTCAGAGTGGCAGGAGGCCCCGTCGGTCCACCAGGTCCACAGGAACCACTACAGTCCAGTCGCCTCCTGCTGCAGACTGGGACCCTGACCCGGGTTCTGGTTCTGGTTCTGGTGTTTCTTCTTGTGTAATAAATGAAAAGGAAACTGAGTCTGGAACTTTGATTTGTCTCTTTTTGACCAGTTTTACTTTGAAAAAGTTGTTTTTATTGTTTGTTTATTTGATCACAAATAAAAAGATTTTAATTTTTTAAAATAATAAAAACAAAATCAAGATTTAATTTGTTCAAACTGACA